TTGTAATAGCTAAAACTTGGAAGCAGCCCAATTGCCCATCAACTGGAAACTAGATAAAGAAAATGTGTTTTTTTATAAAATAGAGTACTACTCAGCCATAAAAATGAGAAATTAGAGACATTTATACCTAAATGGATGTACATTGAGGCGACACTCTTAAGTGAAATAAATACGACACACATGTGTAAATACCAAATAGTTTATCTAGCATGAGAAACTGAAAGTGTAAATAAGGACTAAAAGGTATAATAGATAATGTGAAATAGGAGGCAAAGGGGAAAGGGAAGTGGGAGGGGTAGGGGAAAGGAAAGAAGGGGATGGAATTAATATGAGCAAATGAGAAAATGGAAACAAAGTCTTTGTAAATAGGGAGGGATGGAGGGGTTGGAGGGCAGGGGAAGCGGGGAAAATAAGAACCAAGAGAGATTATGTAAAGGTGCACATTTCCAATGATGAATGTCATTATATTGTATACCTAAAATATACCAATAAAAATTTTTTAAAACAGTCCAAAGCAATGCATATTTGAGGCCAGTGTTCTTTCTATCCTAATGGCACTCTATTCCCTAGACCAATGCACAAAGTACCAGTTTCTCTCCTTAGCTCACCACGTGTCCTTCCTTCTCTTCACTTTCAGACCCTGATATAAGATAAGAACCATCTGAATACTGGATACTCTTCATATATCTATTTTTAAGCTTTAAACAACATTGCACTTTGCAGTTGGACCAAGGATTTGTGTTCATTGTATTTGCTGGTCTTAAAAATTAGTAGAAATGGGAATAGTGGCTCACATCTGTAATGCCAGAATTCTGGGAGGCTGAGGCAGAAGAATCACAAGGTTGAGTCCAGTCTGAGAAACTCAGCAACTTAGACCTTGTCTCAAAAAAGAAAGAAAAAAAAATGGGAGGGAGGGAGAAAGAAAAGAAGGAAAGGAAGGGAGGGAGGGAGGGAGGGAAGGAAGGAAAGAAAAGAAAAGAAATCTGGGGATGTAGCTTAGTGGGAAGGCCCCAGGTTCAATCCCCAGTACTAAAAAAAATTAAGTAGAACTATTTCCACTAGATGGCTGTCTTTACCAACAACTGTTAAGAGGCTATGCCAGCTTGGAATAGTTGCCAGTTTTAAAGCTTACATTTTAAAGAAAGCATCCATTTAGTAAACTTACTCATACAAAGCATCTGGCTATGATTTTATTCTTTTTCAAATTGAAAAAAAAATATGTTGAAAATGTAATGGTCTTTAAGAAAAAATAACTCCATCATCAGACACACAAAAAAATAATAGCTTTACAGAGACTGTTTTGCCAGCTCCTACATTGTGTTAGGTTAAAATCTTATAGTAATTATATAATGTTGAGGGCAGTGGTGAACCTATACCACACATGTTATTGTATTTTTTTTTTAAGATGAAAGATGTTAATGTATGAGTTGGTTTTTCTAAACCAAAACCTCAGTATTCAGGTTTCATTGCAGTGCTGGCACTCTGTGATAAATAAGTGGGTTTGGGTTGCAGTTTAGGCACTCATTCTCTAAAAGGTTTGCCATCATTGGTCTGGGCAAAAACACTGAGGGGGAAAGGTTAACCACGTATTATGGTTGTTTCTGATGTATTTACCATAGCAAGATATTAGCAAACAAGATGATCTCAAATAAGAATTGGCTGGTTTCAAATAAAAATGAAAAGGAATAAAGAGAATGCAGAAATACAGAGCCTAAAAGATTGAGAAAAACTTTATGTGACAGAGCCATTAAGAATGAGACAACAGCCGGGGATTTAGCTCAGTGGTTCTGCTGCCTGCCTTGGAGGCACAAGGTCCCAAGTTCAATCCTCAGTACCAAAAAAAAAAAGAAGAAAAATGGCCAAAAAAAAAAAAAAAAAAGAATGAGACAACAGCTGGGCATGGTAATGTACTTGTAATCTTAGTACTTAGGAGGCAGAGGCAGGAGGATCACTGTAGGTTTGAGGCCAGTGTAAGCTACACAGTGAGTTCCAAGCCAGCTAGGACTACATAGTGAGACCCTGTCTCAAAAACAAGATTGAGACAAGTAGCAAAGAATAAATTAAGGTATTGGCCTTTCTTCCCAAGCCTGATGGCCTTAAAGCCAACATTAAGAGATAAAGGATGGTGGCAAAGAAACAAGAAATAATCAGATTTGAGAACTATATCTACAAAAGAATTTAGGTGCAGTTATAGGCACGTGGAATTAACTAGAAGCAAACTGATCAGAAACCTATCAGAAGGAACTATTTTGCCAAAAGCAAACTCTAATAAATAGAGTCAACAACAAAGTGTAGACTTTAACAGCATTCAACTATGCCAGTCTTAAAACAAACTTCAGGTCCTGAAATTTGCATAGCTCCAAGCAGACTGAGAAAGCTGTAAAGTTAAACTCAAGAACCATGAAAAATGCTAAGTTAGAGAATTCCTTAAGGGGAGCAGAACCAAGGTCTAATCAAGAATTAGCTCTACTTCCTTGAGTAGGAGGTATTCGCAATGGATGTCTCTGAGGATGTCATAGTTATTATGGGCCAGTGACTACTATTAAATATTAAGATAGTATCATATTGGAGGAAGGATAGATCAATCAATGGAATGAAATAGAGTATGAAACAGACTCATGGATTATGGGAGCTAATGTGGCACTGTAGCTCTTTTCTTAAAGAAGGGAATACTTTAAAATTATGCTAAGAAAATTTATCTTTATGGAAAAAAGATAAAGAAAATACATTGAATCTCTATTTAATACTCTACCCCAAGATCAAGCCCATATGATTAAGCACTTAAATGTGAAGCAAAAATTTTAACTTTTAGAAGAAAATAAAGAATATCTTTACAACCTTAAAGATTTCTGACACACAAATTCTAGATGAAAAATATACATATTAAACTACATTAAATTGAGACATCTTTTCATTGAGAGGGAAAAACAAACCACAAACTGCAAGAAGATATTTTCAACGAATATAATTAAGAGGATTATTATCAAAAATATATGAAGAATGACTACAAATTGAAAGCAAAAGGTAAAACACATAACTTTAAAAATGGGTGGAAGACAAGCATTTTACTAAAAAGGTTATACACCATAGACTATAAACACATGAAAAGATGTGGTTTTGTGGTGTCCCCTCCAAAATTCAGGTTTAAACTTAATCCTCAAATCAATAGTATTAAAAAAAAACGTGGCCTTTGAGAAGTGACTAGGCTTCTGCACTTTTTAATTGGATTAGCACCCTTACAAAATGGCTTAAATTTGATGAAAGCAATCTTTTATTTTTAGTATTTATTCTTTTATTGGTACATTTTAGGTATACAATATGTTTACATTTATCATTGGGTGCTTGTACCTGTACATGGTGTATCTTACTTATTTTTTTCCCCATTACCTGTGTGACCTTCACCTGCTCCACCCTTCCCTATTTAAATAGATTTTGTTTCCTTTATTTTTTCTTTTCTCATAATTTTTCCTTTCCCTTCTTCCCTTTCCCCTTCCCCTCCCACCACCCATACACCTTTGGACCTTTTCCTATTTCAAATTATCAATTATTTGTTTTAATCATTTTCATCCTTATTTACACTTTCAGTTTCTCACACTAGAGAAACTATTTGATATTTACACGTGTGTCCTATTTATTTCACTTAAGAGTATGGCCTCCGTATGCATCCATTTAGCTATAAATGTCTCTAGTTTCTCATTCTTTATGGCTGAGTACTACTCCATTTTATTAAAAAACCACATCTTCTTTATCCAGTCTCCAGTTGATGGGCACTTGGGCTGTTTCCAAGCTTTAGCTATTACAAACTGTGCCGCTATAAACATGGGTGCACATATATCGCTGCGGTATGATTCTTTTAATTCTTCAGGGAGGATACCCAGCAGGGGAATAGCTGGGTCAAATGGGACCTCTAGCCCTAGTTCTTTGAGGTAGAAGAAAGCAATCTCTTGCCCTTCAATCCCTTTTGCCATATGAGCACACAGTGCTACTCCCCTCCAGAGAATGCAGCAACAATATACCATCTTGAAACAGAGAGCAGCCTTCACGGGAAACAAAGCTCGCTGCTTGTATTTTCCAGTGTCCAGAACTAAACTTCTACTATTTATGAAGGACCCCTTTCTTGGCTGTTTTTGTCATCTTCACCATTTTAATTATACAGTTCAGTAGTGCTAAGTATTGTTATTCAACAGATTTCCAGAACTTTTTCATCTTATAAAACTGAAACTATAATGATCTATCTCCCCTTCTCTTTATTCCCTAATAATCATTGTTTTACATTGTTTCTGCAACTTTGACTACTTTAGATACTTCATGTTACCAGTAGAATTGTTCTCCATCCACTCCTCAATTCTTAGGTTGAAGGCTACTGTACCTTTAAGTGTGAATAGATATGATGGTTAATCTTGATTCAATTGAGAGACACCCAGAAAACTAGTAAAATACACTTCTGGGTGTGTTTGTGAAGGTCTTTCCAGAGTTGGAACACCTTCACAGTTTGGAACAGCAAACTCAGTGGGGAGACCCTCCCTGAATGTGGGTGGCAACATCCAATAGGCTGGAGGCCCAAATGAAACACAAGAGGGAAAAAAATGAAGCCTGCCAGGATGCAAGCTTGATTCTTTCTTGAGCAGGTCCATCTATTGCCACTGCCATCACTGTGGATATCAGACTCCAACTTCTTCCACTTTCAGTGTAGACTCACACCAGCAATTCTCCAGGGAGCTTCCAGGCTTCAGGCTCAGAGTGGGGTTGTATCATTGGTCCCTTTTATTCTTAAAACTTCTAGCTTCTTCAACTAAGCAGCTACTACTTTCTCTAGCTGTGTACCATGCACAGATATTGTGGGTCTATCCAGCCTCTAATCATGTAAGCTAATCTATTAAATCCCCTTATATAATTATAAATATATATTTCATTGGTTCTTTTCTTCAAAGAACCCTAATACACTATTTAGAAAAAAGGCTTTTAAAAAAAAATTAAGGTTAAATGAAGTCATATGGGGTGGGATCTAAACCAGTCTAATAGCCTTATAAAATGAGGACATTGGGAATCACCCAACAGACACTAGGAATATGCCCATGGAGGAAAGGCCATGTGAGGGCTTAGTGAAAAGTTAGCTATCTACCAGTGATGGAGAGAAAGAAATCTCAGGAGAAATCAAAACTGCAAACACCTTAATCTTGTACTTCTAGTCTTCATAACTGTGAGCAAATGTTGTTTAAGTCATCTAATTGGTGATATTTTGTTATGGCTGCACTTGGCAATGAACATACCTCATAGAATTATTCATCTATTGTGTGACTGTGTTCTTACACTTAGCATTATATTCTCTTTTTTTTTTGAAAAATGTAATACTGTTTATTTAACTTGGGAAACATTTCAGCATTCTAAACATACAAAAAAATAACACAACGTTGCAAATCCTGTTTAAGTACAGAAGCTTTGTGAATCTTCATTAGCTCTCTGCGGAAAATGAAGAGTTCTACAGTCTGGAAACAGTTTCCATCTACTGCACTTAACTAAAAAAACAAAAGTGAAGAATCCAAACACTTCTCAGTCCCCAGCTAAGATGAGTAGCGGGATGCTAGGTCACTATATACAGAAGCTGACTGGACGCCCGCCACAGCTGCAGCGACAGCCCTACGGTCCCCTCCCAGTGGCATTTGTCCCACAGCCTCAGCGCCAAGCAGGGGCCATTGAGGGTTTGCCTGGATTGCTTTGTTCTTTTTACAAACTCTAGATATGTACAGTTGGTAGCTAAGGGTTTCTGACCAATAACCACATAGTTAACACCACCTTACAAATTAAAAAACAAACGGCAGAGACATCTTCAAATGCCTTTACACACCAACAGCAAAGTGCACAGAGCGAGGAGAACACGGAGTGCCTTTTCAGTTTAAAAATGTCTGGAAATATGTACAGCTTTGATACAGTTTCCCAGCGCTCCAGACCCCCAAGCCACACAGGGCAACTACTGCCAACTTCCAGAGCATTTGAGACTACACGATCAAACGGCTGGCATTTAACCTAAGAGACGTTCAGTCGCGGCGCTCCCTACACTAAGGGATTCACAAGGAGACAGAGAAACAGTTTTTTATTCCTCCTCCTCCTCTTCTTCATCTTCCTCTTCTACCTTTTTCCGGGGAACTTTAGCAGGACCCTTAACACCATCAAACTTTCCTTTGGACTTAGAGGCGGCCACGTCCTTCTCATACTTCTCCTTCAGCTTCGCCGCCTTGGTGATGTAGGGCTGCTTTTCACTGTCATTTAAGTTATTCCACATCTCACCCAGCTTTTTGGCCACATCTCCAATGGAGATACCAGGGTTGGTGGATTTTATCTTGGGGTGGAATTCTGAACAAAACAGGAAAAATCCAGACGGTGGTCTTTTGGTGGCATTAGGGTCCTTTTTCTTCTTGCTTCCTTTTGCAGGTCCATAATCTTTCATCTCTCGGTCATAGTGCACTTTATCCGCCTTGGCCATTTCATCAAACTTCGATTTCTCCTTCCCAGACACCGTCTTCCACCTCTCCGAGCACTTCTTGGAAAATTCTGCAAAATTGACAGGGACGTCGGGGTTCTTCTTCTTGTGCTCCTCTCTGCAGGTCTGCACAAAGAAGGCGTAAGCAGACATCTTGCCCTTTGGTTTCTTGGGGTCCCCTTTACCCATCCTGACTGTATTGTTTGCGAGTCTGGGCAGCACAGGGCACAACACGCAGATCCACGTATCATTATATACTCAAGATTCATCCATGTCGTAGCGTTTGACAAGATTGCCTTCATTTTTAAGACAATGATATTACTACATTTTATGTACATATTCCACATATTTTTTTTGTCTATTTCATGGACATTAGGGTTGTTTATACCTCTTGGCTATTACGAGTAATGCTGCTACAAACATGGATATACAAATATGTCCTTGAGATTGTTTCAATTCTTTTGTATATATATTCCCAGAAATGGATCATATGGTATTTCTATGCTTTATATTTTGAGGAATTGCTATTCTGATTTTGTTTGTTTGTTGTTTTTTCCCCAGTACCAGGGATCGAACACCTGTGAGGCAGGTGCAGTGCCACTGAGCTAAATTCCTGGCCCACTATTCTGTTTTTTTAGAACAGATGCATAATTTTATGATCCTACTAACAGCACACAGGGATTCTAATTGGTCCACATTCTCACCAACACTTATTATTTTCTGCCATAGTAATATGTATGAGGTGATATTTCACTATAGTTTTTTTATTTCACTAATGATTATTTACTATTTTTCAAAATGTCAGCTAAGTCCTATCTGATCTTTGCACTCACCAAATTGGAAAAATTAACCTGACAATACCAGGGGTTGGTGAGGACAGATTAGGAAACAAACAAAAACCAAATAAATAAAAATATCCTACATGCTGCTAGTAGGTATTCACAATATTAAATCTCTTTGAAAACAACTTGCCATTACCTTATAAAGTGAACACTCATAGTCACTATAATCCATTCCTGCACTGTTTTTCAAACCTTGAGTCACCACTTGGTGAGTTTTGTAATCCATTTGTTCAAAGTCACAATTACTATTTTTGAAAGGGTTTGACAAGGTAGATATTGTTTCATTATTTTGAGAAACTTTTGTTTTATATAATTGAGTATATTTGCTTGTTGAACAAACCAATTCCATTTCTTATACTATTAGTAGGGACCATAGTGTCTAAAAGCCTCTCATACTGAGTTCTTGCCCATAGCACTATTGTTTATAGCAATAAAAAATGGAAAACAACCCAAATGTTTAGTTGGGTTTGTAAATTTGTGGTATATTCACACAATACAACTCTCTAACGCAATGAAAAATGAATATATGTTTCACAAACCATTTAAGTAAAAAAAAATTGTAAAGTGTTATTTTTACAAAGCTCAAAAAGTTAAAACTGAACAATATGTTGTTTCACGGTACACTCAGAGGAAAGGAATACATGATAAGTAGAAATTGCTAAATAATGAATAATAAAAATTGGAAGTATATTTGACAAGTGGATGGAATAGGGAAGAAAAACATGAAAAAATCCTATTGGTGTTTTAGTTCTTAGGCATGATCATGGCTATTCATTTTATTAATATTCATCATAATTTAGATTTATTCTAAATGGATCAAGTATATATGACGTCATAATTTGTGTATTTAGGGGGTTTTTTTGTTGTTATTTTGTTTTCATTTGTTTTGAGGCAGGGACGACTATATATCCCAGGTTGTCTTGCCCTCAAACTCGAGATCCTCCTGCCTCAGCCAGTGCTGGAATTACAGGCTAGTTCTGACCTGAGAAGCACTGTCTGGAAAGCTGGAACTACGGGTAGTAAAATAATTTACCTACTGTCAAGGAGTATAGAAGAGTAGAGAGTTTGCTGAAACACTGCAAAAGAGCAGTGGTCAAGTTCCAAGAGATAACCTTTATATTTGATTTCAATGTGAAGAGGAATCTGAGAAAATCATCCCAGGAACACTTTCGTAAGGTCATGGTGATCCTGTTGTCCATTCATCTTAAATCTAGATATAGCCATATGTTGTTTAAAGACTTTGTATCTGTTTGACAGGGTCTAGTTCCTGCAGCATTGCTAGAAACAACTGCTGCAGGTAAAATGGATAAAAAAGTGCCAAGATTAACTAGGGTTAATGGACAAGGTGGGGGACTGGGATAAAGTATATATGTTTGTACTTGAAAGGAACTTTTGAAGTTGGATAAGAATTGGACAATTTGAAGTTGGGTAAGAAAATAAATGGTATTTTCCAAGGTACACCAAGGGGTTAGAACTTCTTTGTGAATGTAGCTTGCAAGGAGAAAAGTTAATGTTATCCTACAAGCTCATCACTCAGCTACAATATGTCCTTTAAAGAAACAATAATGAAATAATCACAATTCCCTCAAAGGTGCCTGGTTCAATTTACATATTATAACAATGTTCATATTTATAAAATTGTTCCAAAAAAATCTGGATTCCCTGAAAAACAGGATAATATAACTGGGGGGAAACTCCTACCAGCTTATCAAAGGTCAACGTGTATAATTTTATGTAAATAAAATCTATGTATACCTTTCATTCAGTTTCTTGACACAATGGGATGGCATGAGGAATAATCACACACAATAATGTCACTACCCTAAGCATGAAAATGAATTCTGTGTTTTTCTTATGTTAGTCAAAGCGGGTAAAAACTCAGAAAACTTTCTGCCTACCACAGTGTACCAGCACCTCAGCCTTGTCCTGTGTTCTGTACTGACACTGATTCACACATAGGTCCTCTAGTCAGTACTGAGCTAATACCTTGACAACGGAAAAAGAAATTAATAAGAGCCGTCCTTCTCAACTGTTAATTTAGAATTGAAATTAACTTTCATCACTTTATTGATTTCCTTTTAAGTTAGGTATCTTTGAATCCAAACTTCTTAATAAGTAGAGAGCAACCAGTTCACTTCTGAAAAGGGGCTTACAAGAAACGAGAAAAGCAGTTATGGGGGAACAGGGTAGGGCGGGAGGTTTAAGGGAAGAGACATAGTGATATGACAAAACTAGTCCCCAGCAGAAAGGGCTTGTGGAAGATAAGAAAATAGAAAATTTCCACTCTAAGATTACTAAAAGAATATACAAAAACGGAGGAAATTTTCAAGGGCTCTTTTTCAGCGTAGAGTATGGAAATTAGTCTTGGGAGGTCTATACCTTTAAAAGAGACAATGAGTCGTTTAGCTTCAGCACATCCGGCAATAAAGATGGCGGTAGGACGAAGCCCCTTCCACTCCCACCGGACCAAAGCTTTAGCCTCACGTTTCCCACAAGGCCCTCCGCGCAGCCTGACTCCCCGAAAAATACCCTGCCGGCATCCCATAACTGCGCACGCGCGAGGCGATGTCACGCGCACTCCCAGGGTTCGACGAAGCTGGCAGGAGGGGCCTTGCTAGCTTCCGCTGCCGTTTGGCTTCAGGGCTCCGACAGTGGGTTCGCGGTGCCTCCACCGCCGCCGCGGGGCAAACGCAGGGCGGGGAGCCAAGCGAGGAGCGCGTGGCTGGATAGCCATGGGACTACGCCAGGTCCGGTGACAGCAAGGACCCGAGCGGTCCGGGCCCTGAGCGCGTCTCCTTCGGAGGGCCTCGCCCTCCTGCTCGCGGGGCCGGGGCTCCTGCTGCCGTTGCTGGCGCTGCTCCTGGCGGCGGCGGCGGCGGTGGCCAGGATCATGTCGGGCCGCCGCTGCGCTGGAGGGGCCGCGGCTTGCGCGAGCTTGGTAGCTGAGGCTGTGGAGCCGGCAGCCCGTGAGCTGTTTGAGGCGTGCCGCAACGGGGACGTGGAGCGAGTCAAGAGACTGGTGACGCCCGAGAAGGTGAACAGCCGCGATACTGCTGGCAGGAAATCCACCCCGCTCCACTTCGCCGCAGGTAACCGGGATCAGCGCCGCCCACCTACTCTTCCGGGGCTCGCAGGCCGGAAACCGCACGGTGCCCCGGGTCCCTGACCTTGCTCCCGGGGTACTCTAGTCCTAGTGACTTCGCTCTTTTCAAAGGGAGATTGGGGAAATTAGGAGTGAGTGGGGAAAGCGTACCGCGTTTACTGGAAGTTGTTGGGTGGATGGCTTTGTTTTGTTTTACAGTATCAACAATACCTGTAATCAACTTCCGGTTTTACTACTCTGAAAGGCCTCAACATACAAGAAATAATGGGGGACGACTTAGATAGACCTTGTGATTCCAAACACTAATTATCTCAAAAATTTGCCGTTCTTGCAAGTTCTGCTATAGTTTATCAATCCTTTGAGGTCTTAGAGGCCTTAGTAAGATTTGAGAGTGCAATTTAGGAGGAGTTGCTTAATGGGCTAGTGACACGTTGAAGTTAATTGGTTTGTCAGTATCCAATCATTAGCAAGTTTTTAGAGAAACTAGAATTAGAAATAGGAAAGTTTGGAAGAACTGAGGTCTTAGGCTAGGTGCAGGAAGTCAGCCCCACATATTGAGTTGGAAAGTAATAGCCTAAGAGAGAAGATGGTGCAGGTACTTTAGCTTGACTCTGGAATTTAGTGGAACTCACTTTGCCTCAAAGAGAGTTAGGTCGCTTGAATTACTTTCTTTACTATAGTTACTAGGTTCACTTAATGATGATATTAGAGTATTAAATACAGTCTCGCAATATTTAAAACCGCCAGAGGTGGGACACTCAAATAATTTCCTGTAAGGCATTTATACTTTTTACTTTGAGGAAAAGCTGTGACTGTGTCTAACCTCAAGTGAGCCATGTGTGATTGAAAATGGGAGTGAGTTCTCATACTTTTGCTATCTTGGTGTTTTATTTGGTGTATATCATGATTTTTAAAACATTTTTTTTGAAAAAGCAGTGGTATACGTTTTTACATACCCTGTTCTTTTGGGGCAAAAATGATATGCAGAGGAACATGAGAAAAATATTCTTGTTCACAGACATTGCCTTTACAGTGGAGACTTGTTTGCTTCGACTTGTCCTTATATTTAAAAGTAATTACTTGCAGGAAGCATGCTTTCATGATCAGTGGCACCTTTGGTTTGTATGGGAGCCTTTTAAGAGGAAAAAAAAGGTTTTGGGGGACGATGGTTGACTAAAAACAGGCAGTGACAAGAAAAATGAGAATACTGAAGTCAGATCTCACTTAATCATTTTCCTGAGATTTTGGTGGACAGTGCTGCCTTTCTTCAGCTAATTTGAATTGTCCTGTTTGACCATGTAGTCAGCATTAACTGATTTGGCAGACTGTCACAAACAAGCGGTACATAATCCAAAGGGTAATGTTACCTAGATTATGTTCACTTGATCTATGAGATAAAAATAACCGAGGAAGATCTTAGTTGCTACCTTGCAAGAATTTGGTGTATTAATGAGTTCATGTCTGAAAATAGTAAGTAATATTTGGAGGTGTGCTATTATGATATTAGCTTCTCATTGACTTTGTTCTTCATCCACCATTGCACCTTTTGTTCTCTTGCAACATTTCAAAGCATTTTTAACAGATTTCATGTTTGGCCATATTGAAATGAAA